GATGGTGAGTATATAAGAGTTTGTTAAATTATTTTTTATATTTTTCTATGTATTTAAAAAATACCTAGTAATTTAAAAACAGACATATTTTGTAATAAACAAAAACATTAGATATAATTAAAATATTACTCAGACAAAAATCAGAGCTTTAAATACATGCATTAGAAAACTGAAATAGCAAGAGAGGAGAATAAAAGAAAAAATAAATGATTAAGTGTTTAACAAAAGAAGCTAATAAAAAGACAACAAATCCAAAGTAATAAGGAAAGGGATATCAAAAGATAGAAATCAGAAACTGAGGAAATAGAAAAAAATCAATATTAAAGACTTAACAAAGCAAATACTAGTTCTTTGAAAAGATCAGTAAGATAGCAAACTCCTGATAAGACTGAACAAGATAAATCAGAAAAGAGGTAAATAAATAAAAAACACAGTACGAAAAGGAGACATGTCTAGGGTCACAGAAATATCTGGGTTTCCACATAATTTTAAAAATTAATTAATTATGTATAAACACTATAATACCTCCGTGGCCCCCGAGAAAATGGATTTATTTCTACAAAGTATTTGAAGTGTTTGAAATGGACACAAGAAGAAACAGAAAACTGAGTAGCCTATAAAAGTTAAAGATGTTTAAGTGTCAGTAAAACGTTTCCTACAACAAAAGGCTCAGGAAAGGGGTGGGGGACCGGAGAAAGCGCAGGCTGGCAGTGGGTGTGGGAAACGACTCACGCAAGGACGCCGGAGAGGGCGTGAGGCCATCTCCGTGAGGCAACCCCGCCTCGGACAGCCCGGTGCCCCTCTGCACCCGTCAGGCTGCTTGGGATTCGAAAGCCAGCAAATAACCAGTCCCAGGTCCTCCCTGAGGACTACCGGTCACTTCTCATGAACGCCACAGCCCTGTCCTCTTCTCCCAGGACGTGGCTCAGAAGTTCTGTCCTCTCTCTGCCTCTCTTCTCACTGGTTCAGACTGGCATCGAACACAGCCAGGATGTGCACACGGCATGAATTTTCATAAGATGAGCATCCCTCAGAGCCACCGCCGCTGAGAAACAAACACCCCAGTCTGCGTGCAGCCCCCCTCACGCCTCTTCCCGTCGTCGCCCCCTTCTCCCAGAGGTGGCCACTGTCCTCAGTGCAAACACCATGGGTGAGCTTTGCGTATTTTAAAATAAAAAGAAGTGGAATCATAGTGCCCCCTGTTTGTCCTTTTGTTTTTGCCCAAATCTGCTTATGGAGGTTCATCCATCTTGTTGCAGATTTCACTCGCTCGTTCACCTTTGCAGTCCGACATTCCACGGAATGATTGTGCCACGATGTCCCCATGTTTGTATTGATGGGGATTTACTTTCCCTCCCGGGTAACATTAGTGTTACCAGTAATGTTGTGCGATCATACACGCGGTTGGCTGTCGTTATTTGTGGGTTCTGCATTTGTGCATTTGCCTACTTACTGGGATGTACGTGCAACCCCCAAATCAACACCTGCAGAGCTTTTCGCTGCCCTTCATTGACGTGGCTGCACAAAGTGGCTGGAGTTTGTCCCCTGCGGTGCCTCTTCCCAGCTGGAGTCGAGCGAGGTGCCGCCCCGCCATTGTGCTACCGTTCTCGTCCTGTACACAAGTGCCCTGCGTGCTCTCTACTTAGTGCCGTGGCTTTTGCACTTTTTTCCTGGTGATTTGGTGATTTTAAGTGGCCCCCACACGCAGTGCTGAAGTGCTGTGAGGGGCCTGGTGGAGGAAATAGGCGTTGTAGAAGCTTCGCTCAGGCGTGAGGGACAGCGCTGTGCAGGCCACGAATTCGGTGTTAAGGAATCTGCAACACACTACATTGACAGAGCGGTCGTTAAACAGGATGCTCCTAATACAGGCTCTGTACTGACGGGGCGATGGAAGTGTGACCAGAGTTTCACGGCGACTCTGGGTTCTCCTTGGGAGGAACTGTGCCGTTCTCAGTAAGTTGGTGCCCGCGGTGACTTTGAGGAACGTCACTACATGAATGAGGAGGGTTGACTGGGTGTGCATTTCGCTGAGCGCATACCCAGGGGTCTCAGTGCTGGGCCGTGTGATTGACATATTTTCGACATCAATACAACAGTCACATTTCAAAGACACTCTAGTGTGTGCTCACCAGCGGCGATAGGAGAGTACTAGTAGCTTTGTATCTTTCCCCACACTTGGTGTTGTTCGGCTTTTGAATTGTAGCCATCGAGCAGATGTGTCCATCATACTGCGGTGTGATATGCTTTTTCCTGATGACTGATGGTGTCGAGCACCTTTTTGTGAGTTGCTTATTGGCCACGTATATTCCCTGTTTTGTGAAGTGCCTGTTCCAGTCTTTCTCCTTCTAAACACTGCGTTCTCTGTCTCTTTCTCATTGGTTTGCAGGAGTCCTGTTTCTATCCTGGAATCAGTCCTATTTGGTCACCTGTGTGACGAATAATTTCTCCCATGTTGTGACTTAGCATTTTATTCTCTCATGGTGTTTTTTGATGAATATAAATTTGTAGTATTAATGAAGTTAAATCTGTCATTTACTTTCTTGATAGTTTAGTACTTTTTAATTCCTTTTTAAGAGATCTTTGCTTACTATGAAGTCTAAAGACATTATCCTGTTTATCTTCCAGAAGGTTTATTGTTTTATCTTTTCTATTTTGATCTGTAATGCACCTGAAGCTAATATTTGCATCATGTGAACCAGTCATTGTGATATTCTTTTTTTCTACAGTGATATCCAGCTGACATGGTACATTTGTTGAGAAGGCTGTCAGTCCCCCGCTGTGTGGTATTTCATCTCTCATAATGCTTTCATAACGTGTCACCCCCAGTCTTTAACTTGCGACCTGCTTGTATCCTTACATTGAACATCTGTCTGTTGTAAGCAACGTATATTGATTTCAATTTTTAATTCTAGTCTAAAGTCTTTACCATTTAATTACAGTATTTATGTATATTTAATATTTCTATGTTACCGTTTTCCCATCTGTGCTATGTTCATTCCTGTTTTCTTTATTGCTTTCATTAAAGGAACACAAGTATTTTTTAAAAGATTTATTTATTTTTAGAGAAAGGGTTAGGGAGGGAGAAAGAAAGGGAGAGAAACATCGATTCATTGCCTCTCATATGTGCCCCGACTGGGGACTGAACCTGCAACCCAGGAGTGTGCCCCTGACCAGGAATCGAACTGGTGATATTTTGCTTTGCAGGAGGATGCCCAACCAGCTGAGCCACACTGGTCAGGGCAGTATTTAAGTATTTTTAATTTTAAACAATTTCTCCCATATTAGTGAGTCAGTTACACAGTCTTTTAACTTCTCTGTTTTTTGATGACCATAAAGGGCTCCGTATGAGACCTTGACTTTCTGAAGTCTAATCTAAATTAGACTTCTGTTCCTTGCAAGTACTTGAGACGGTCTTCACTTTTTTCTTTCTCTCCTTCCCTCTGTCTGGTGGTCATGTATTTCAATTCTCCATATATTTTAGCCTGAAAAAGAAATTGTCATTGCTTTTTCCCATCAGTACTCACTTAGCTTTACCCACATATTTGCTCATGGTTTCTCGTTCCCCTGGGCTGGGGCTTGCTTCCAGCTGGGGTCATTTCCTTCGTTACGGATGCATTGCCAAGGAACACATTTAGTGTTTGCTTATCTGAAAATATCTTTATCTTTACTTTTGGAGGAAATTCAAAAACGATTGTATAATGTATAGATTGGCTGTTATTTTCTTTCAGCATTTTAAAGATATTTCATTGCCTCCTGACTTCCACCATTTCTGCTACCAGATTATTGTTCCTTTGAAGTAAATGTCTCTTTTCCCCTCTGGCTGCTTTTGAGGTTGTGTTGTGTCTTCGCTGTTCAGCGGCTTCGCTATGACGGACCTGGGCATGTTTTTTTCCCTTTGATTTTTCCTGCTTTGAGATCGTAGTGCTTCCTGTGTGTGTAGTTTGATGTTTCCCTCGCCAGTCTTTGAAAATGCTTAGCTAGTGCCTCCTCTGACATTTCCCGTCTCATTCTTTCTTTCTCCTTCTGGATTCATCGTTGTAGGCACACGCTTGAAAATAATGACGATGAATATATTGAAGAAGGTAGAAGATGTGATGGATCATTTAAGCAGAGAACTGAAGTATGCAGAAGAATTTCAAATAGAAATTATAGAACTGAAAAATCTGCAACATTTAGAATGCACAGATAAATTGGATAGCATATTAGATACAGTAGAAGGAAGAGTTATTAAATGGAAGAGAGGTATATTGAAAATATCCAGCATGAAGCTGAAGAGATGGATGAACTTCTCTCTGTCCCTTTCTACCACTGAGGCTGAATATAATTGTTACGGTTTATACAGGGTCCGGCAGAAGTAACACCATGGAGTGTGGTTGGTACGGTACGTGAATGTCTCGCACGAGATGGACAGCAATTTGAACATTTTACCTAAAATGTCACATGGTGTGCTTGAGTGTGATATTGTTCTGTTACAGAATTACATGCTTAAGATTTTGTAATAAAAGAGTTTTACGTAATACGAAGGGGCGTTATTTTGCCGGCCCCTGTGTTGCCCCAGTGTGGCTTTGCTTCCTTCCACCACCTGGGTGAGCGTGTTGGCAGGGAGAAGCAGTGGGGGGGTGGGCACGGTCCAGGCAATGAAACAGCGCGTGAAAGGCAGGTAGCCAGGGAGAATCGGCCAGGTCTGGGGGTTCAGAGGAAGTCACCAGACACGAGCGGGGGCCTTTTTGTATTGGGCCACCACGTCTAGAAAGATGCACAGGACCTTGCATGCCTTCGCTGACCAAGTGATTCAGAAGAACCGATACTTCCTTCACCGATGCTTGGTGGTGTGTACCAGTTTGGCCCCTCCGAATCTTCTGGTGGAAGCCATCCATCGCTGTGTAAAATGAAGTGGTTACTGGGGGCTAACTAGCTACAGCCAGGGGGCAGGCTGTTGACCCGGTGTGACGAAACGTCACTGGATTGATGGTTACGCTTTTGTTTCCCCTCTGTCATAGCTGCACGTGTCCGCTGCTGGGAAGAGTGTGGGGAGCTGACTTGGAAGCTTGTCAGTTGCTTCTCCAGAGCCTGCAGCTCCCGGATCCCGGAGGTGGCCCGTCTGCGGCAGAGGAGAAGCAGGTGGATGACTCAGGGGGAGCTGCCAGTGCCACCGTGCCCGGCTGCTGTCCCCCACCCCGCTCTGAAGACGAGAGGAGGACCCCTCTGCAGGCGCTCGGCGAGTGGAGGGCTCAGCCGGCTCCCTCGCCTCCCCGTGCCGACAGCAAACAGAAAGAGGTCTGTCCAGCCCCGCAGCCTCCGCAGGGGTCTCATGCTGACGGGGCTCTGGGGCCCACTCGCACTATTGGGAGGGCTTCCCGCGGGACCATCCGAATGTTTCAGAGTCTTAGTAACTCCTGAATATGATTGTAAAATAATGTAGAATTTTTTGTAGGAGGAGTTTAAAACCTAGAAGAGCAAAAAGAAAAACTTCGGCCTATTTAGTTCTATTTTCTTCTACTTTTATGACCACAGTTAGAATACACAGTTTAATATATAATTACTATATAAAATATACACTATATGTGTCAGTAACATACACACAGCTATTATATATACTATATGTGTCAAATATATTGATTATATATTTAGAATCTACCTCTTACAACATATCATTACTTATTAGCATCAAACATTCAAATATACGTGTTTATGCCATTAACTGTTTTTGGCAAACCCAGAGCATAACAGGTATTTGTAATCTGCTTTACTCATTTAAAAAAAAACTAACCCTTAATTGGCTTATGATGCTATCTATATATTAGGTATGTGTAAAATTATGTTTTACATAGCTGTGTATGCGTATACATATATGTATATATATAAACATGCATATGTGGGTTTATTTAACGTTTTGCCCCGAGGCTGACCTCAATGAACAGAGAAGAGCTGGTAGCTTCCCCTCCCCGTCCTCCCTCCCCCTGTCCCCCCTGCGCCCCCCCCCCCCGGGCCCTCCCTCCCCCTCCCTCTGGCTCATCTCTCCCCTCGCCCCTCCCCTTGCTTCCCCTCTAACCCTCGCAATATCCCTTTCAGTGACAGGGCTCTAGGAACTTTTTTCCAATTTCGGTGCCCTAACCGGAGGCTTTGGAGCTTTTTTTCTGGCCAGGTTCCCAGGTGCTCTGAGTATTAAAAGGAAATTAAGGTGCGGTGAGGCTGGAGGGACGTGTCACTTCACGCTTACGGCTCCCATGTGACGCCCGCTGCGCCTTTTCCATGACTCACGGAGCCGAGGGGCGAGCGCCCCACACCCCCCACCCGGGTGGCCTCCCTGACCTGTCTCGGGACAGGGGTGACACTCCTCACCTGTGGCCCGTGCTCACACTCACCGCCCCCGGGCTGCTTGGGAAATGCACACTCAGTCCTGTGTTTGAACTGAGTGACTTCCGGGAAAGCCAGCTCTTGTCTGTCTGCAGCCCCGCTGGCCTCGCACGGTCCGGCTCCAAATGGAGCCGCGGATGACCTCAGCCTTTGTCCCCCGAGGCCTGCGGGGGACCCACCCCGAAAGCCTGGCTGCTGGAGCTCTTGGTAGAGGTGTGGAAACTTTGCCATCTGTTGCAGTTGGGCAGCTGGAAAGAATATTCTGGAGTGGAGGGAAGCAAGGGGTGGGGCGTCCTGGGTGGAAGAACCTCGGGCCCTGGGGCCCAGGCTCAAGGTCGGGCTGGCTTTTCCGAGGTGGGCTCCCAGGGGCTGTGTCCAGGCCAGGCTTGCGATGGGGTCTGTGGGGCCTCAGCCCCACTGGGGGTCAGGACTGATTCAGCAGATTTGGTCTTGTGGAGAGAGTCTTTTCCCTCCCCTCTTCTTCTCTCCCCCGCTTCCTCCCTTCCTCCCTCCCTTTCTCCCCCCTGTGTCCCTCCAGGCTCTCCGGCAGATGACTTTCCCAGGTATAGGAGGGTGATGCCTCCCTTATAAGATTATTCGCACCTGCCCCTCGGGCTGTAGGAAAACAGAGCTCATTTTGCCTAAAAGAGACATTCAGAGCCAAGGGGATGCATGGAAGGGCACTTGAGGTTCCTGGTGAGGAGGAGGCCCGGTGGCTGCTTCTCTGAGCTCCCAGTCCTCCCCCCGCCCCCAGCCCCTCTGCACCGAGTGCAGTGCCAGGACGTTCTGCAGAGCTGGGTTGCTTTCTTGGGGGCCAGAGAGAGCAGAGGGGGACTTCGCAGCATTTGCTACATCTCCTGACCTGCGCCAGGCCCCGTCCTGTATTCTTCTCTGGGGTTGCATTCAGAGAGGAGGCAGGCTTCCTCTGAACCCGTGAGTGAGCGGCAAGAATGTTAAGATGGTCCGTATTTCCTGGAAAGGACAACATTATGGGAACAGAAAACGTTTCAGCCGTTGCCAGGAATTGGGGCTGGGGGGCGGGGCTGACCACAAAGCGCAGCAGGAAGGAGTTTGGGGGGGGGGTGCGTGGTAGAACCATTCTGCATCTTGATTATGCATCTGTCTAAACCTGTAACGTCACACCAAAAGGAGTGAAATGTAATGCACATCACTTCAAAAAAGTGACACCTACCTATTTCAAAGCAAGGCAGGGGATGTTTGAATCCATTGCACTTGGCTCGGGGCTATGGGAGATAGTAAAATGCGATGGAAGGAGCCTGGGGCGTGGAGGCCGCACACAGGCTGCGTCTCCTTATCTGCTCAAAAAACGAGGGTCGTGAAAATGGCCTCGTGAGGCGGTTGTGAAGATTCAAATAAAATAATGCGCCTGAAAGTGAGTGACTGAAAGAGCGGAGCGTTAGAAATGTGTGTGCGCTTATCACCTTCGGGCAGTTACCAGTGTCTCTAAGACGCTTGAAAAATACTGTATCTTGCCTCCTGGACTAAGAAGCAGAAGTGAGCAACGCAGCGGTGGAAGACAGCTAAGAAAATGAAGGTTTAATCAGGGAAGCGTCTTGTTTGTGTTTGGACGGAGGACGTTAGAGCCCCAAAGGCGCAGAGAAACGGCCGCTGAGGGTGTCGTCAGGAGGGCGATTTTGTTTTCCCGCTTGGGTTTTGTAGGGAGTCATTGAAGTCGGGTGCTTGCGTGCCCATCCTGCGGCGAATGCGTCTGTTGGCTTTGCGGCTCTGAGTCGGTTTGGTTTTGGAACTCGCGGCGGGGTCTGGCCACCCCACGCTGGTTTCTCTATTGAAGTGTGATGCCCTGAAGGCAGTTGATTGCTTCCGAACCCAAATCATCCGTGGAAAATTGCTGACTTAGAGAGGTCCGCGGGGAGACGGGTTGCCAAGGCCTTCACTGCGCTTCTCTGGCCCACGTGATGCTGCGCCTTTCGCTCCCGCTTTGTTAGAACAAGTGCTTTGTCACGAATGAAAGCTTTCACTGTGTTTATGGTCCCTCCAGGCCACTCTGCACCATTTCCCCCACTTTACAGCGGGGGCCACTGAGGCACAGTAAACTGCTTTGGGCTTCGTCATGAGGAGGACGGCAGCCCGCGGGTCACGGGCCAGTCATAGCGTGCGCTTCCTTGGTCAATAAGAGCCTCCTCGGTTTCGGTTTCCTTGAGCCTCTCTGCAAGCCTTTCCTGGGCTCTGGAAGCAATCAGCTGCCATTGGCCCTGCTTTATAGATATTACAGAAATTGCACGGAGGCCAGACGGGAGCTGGGGAAATCACCGAGCCAGTTTCCTCCGCTGTGAAGTTGCTCTTTTGTACTTGCCGTTCTGGCCATAATAGCTGCATAATTCTTCCTTTCCTGTCTGCAGCCCGCCTGCTGGGGTGCTCTCTGGTTCGCTGCAGAGTGGGCTCCCCTCCTGCAGAGTTCCTGGACAGCATCACTGGGCCCCCATTTGTCACCCCGTCTGCTTCCGTTCCCATCCCGTTGCTGCCACCAAAGGGGCTAAAAGAGGCCAGAATAGGTGCAGCCGCTCTGAGCCATCTCCTGGACCGTTTGAGAAGCCAGTGTGCAAGAGTGTCTGTGATAAAAAGTTAGCAGGAAGAACCAGGTGCTGTCGCTTTCTGTACTGTATCGCAGAGTCCCCGAAGATCGTTGCAGGTGCGTCCCGATTCCTTCTCACTCCATTTCATGGGACAGGAAAGCTGGAGAAAGGGCTTCTGTGGCGAAGGCGTGTGTGTTCACCACCTTACCTGGTTTCAACCCCAGAGCCGTCTGTAGAGGTAGGAAGGCAGAGGCAGGCCCGAGTCTTCCTCCTCTGTCACTTCCCGCCTCACTTCGGGCTCAGTTCCCTCGCCAGGGGAACGGGGTGAAAAAGAGCTGGTCCTGCCCTGGTAGGGTAGCGCAGTGGGTTGGAGCATGGTCCTGATGCGCCAGGGTTGCAGGTTCTAACCCCGGTCTGGGCACACACAGGAACCAACCGATGAATGCACGGGTGGGTGACACATGAAATTGATGTTTCTCTCTCTCCTTCCCTCTCTCTCTAAAAATCCATCAATAATAAATAAACAAACAAACAAATGAATAAATAAACAAAGCATGTCTCGAACTACCGAAGTGAGAGTTCATGAGACAGCACGAGGAAATGCTCACTCATCTGCCAGCTGCTTTTCTCTGGTGCCTTTCGGGAGAAAGCCGAGGCCCAGGGCACGAAGAGACATTGACCTCTGCTAAAATTTAGAGTTTTGCGTGGCACACCCAGCTGTATTGCAAACAGACCCAAGAGTGGGCCAGCAGAAGCAATCGGGATGCAACCAGGACGGTAATTGGTTGGTTCATTAAAGAGCCAGAGAGTCATAGAAAATGGTACACGTGCATTTGGAACTTCTTTAACACCGAAGACACACAACTGTGTGCTGGTCCTGTGCAGTGGGACCAAGGCCCTTGGTCTGCGGGGTCTGCTGCCTGCCTCCTCACGGCGCCCTGCTGCACAAACCGCGGCGGTACCGCCTCACCTGCGGTTTCCAGTTTAGGTTCCTCTAAGGAGGACTGAACATTTCAGCAGCATTTGTAAGACAATCAATCCTCAGTCTCTTCCCTCCCCTTTTTTTTCATCCGCATCTGAGGATGCATTTATTGATTTTAGAGAAAGGAAGGGAGAGACAGATGTGGAGAGAGAGAGAAACATCGATGTGGGAGAGAAACATCCACAGGTTGCCTTTTGTATGCACCTCGACCAGGGATCACACTTGAAACCTAGACATGTGCCCTGACCAGGAATCGACCCCACGACCTTTTGGTGTGCGGGATGAGGCTCAAGCCAAGCGAGCCACCTGGCCAGGGCTCTCCCTCTCTTAAATATTGAGTTTTTCCAAGGTTTTGTACTTGGTTTATGAGGAGACAAGAACTC